GAGCCGAAGGCAGTCGCTTAACCAACTGAGCCACCCAGGCGCCCGACAGTTTCCTATATTTTAAAGTCTGCTGGATTTATGTTAGGTTCCAGGGGCAGTATTTATAATCTGGATTTGGATATAATGTCCTAAGTTCAGTTTCAGAACCCATGCTCTCAGGAAACTGACATTAAATACCACTCTATCGGTGCAAGTGACAGAAATGACTTCTGATCTTTAAAATAGAAATGAGACTTCAACTCATCTTTAATCTGTAAAATAGACAATATGACTTTTTTCTCAAATGTCTCAGGTAAATATTATCTGGGCAATAACACCAGATTTTAAAAAGGTGACAGACCAGTGATTCTCAGAATTTGGCTGCATGGATCAATACTACTAAAAAAAAAAAAGAAAAGAAAAATAGGACCCAAGAGAGGATTACCAAATGTTTACTCTGCCTAATGAGGATGTTCAAGTAAACAATGCCATGATTTCAGGGAAAAAATGACATGTAAATATCAAAAAAAAAAAAAAAAAAATACAGCCATTGTCATAATAATAATAAAATGAAGGTAACATTTATGGAACTCCTACTGTGTATCAGACACTGTTCAAAGTGTTTTAATATGTATTAATGAATTTAATCTGTACCACAATCCTGGTGGTTATGACAACTGTCATTACCATTTACAGATAAGTAGACTGAGGACCAGAAAGCTTGAATAACCTGTTGGGTTCATGTAAATGTTGGAATCAGGATTTGAACCCTTTAACCAATATGTCACACTGCATCTCAACAAAGGTGTTGGAAATTAGTCTTAAAATAAAGGAAGATTATTTGGATTAAATAATTCTTCACTTACGAAAATAACACCTTGTTATATTTCTCCTTTGTCGAAGACCATATCAGGCCCCTCTGTTAGATTAGCATTTAGAACTGTTGCCTTAAACAATAGAAATCCAGGTGTCTAGAGCTGTGCTGGCCAGTTCAATTAAAAGTAAATAAAATTAAAAATTCACTTTCTCAGTCATGCTAGCCACATTTCAAGTGCTAATGGGCGCACATATGGGCTAATGTCTATAATACTGGCATAGATATAACACATTTCCATCATTGGACAGCCCTGGACAAGTATATTTATTATATTAGGGAAAACAAAGCTATAGCAGTAAAAGGAAAAATTATAACCAGAAATCATTATCTTAAAAATTACTATACCTACTTCCTTAATAGCATAAGATGGGTTTGCTCTTTGATCCAGCAATTTCACTTAGAGAAGCTTTTCCTATTGAATTAATTAAGTACAGGATGCGCATCACATTATTGTTTACACTAGTGACAAATTGAAAACAACCCAAATGCTCAACTAGTGAATTGTTTAAATAAATTATAAATTCTTACAGTGGAATGTTATACTGTCATTAAAATAACATTGTGAATGAATATTAACCAACACAAAACATTAGATACAGTTTTTTTTAATGTGGGTTTTGAAGGAGAATATAGGGTAAGATAATATTTTTTTGTTGTTAAAAACTGTAAATGCCTGTAAGTATGCTTAGTAAAAATATCTGGCTATATCCGAGGCTTCCGATTATAGATATTTAAATTTTTCTTTATCTGTATTTTCAGAATTTTCTGCAATGAACTTGACGTGCTTTTGTAATAAGTAAAAATGTAATCAAAGTCACATTTAATTAAAAAATTAACTTCAGATTGTGTTCTCACTGTGCTGGGTAGCAAAGTGATTTAAAGATGTTGCCTTCTAGTCCATGGGACTGCAGACAACAGCCCATTGACCAGATCCATCCTGAGACTTATTTTATATTTTTATATGGCCCACGAGCTAAGAATGGTTTTTATTATTTTTAAACAGTTGGAGGGGAAATCAAAAGCAATAGTATTTGGGGAAGTGAAAATTATACGATACTTGACTTTCAGTATCCACAGTCGATCTCTATTGGCTCACAGCCACCCCCATTCACTTACATGTTGTCTACACTGCTTTTGTCCTTCAAGGGCACAGTAGAACAGTAAGGACTGGGACATCTGGCCTGCAAAGCCAAAAATATTAACTATTAGACTCTTTACAGAAAAAGGCTTTGCTGCCCCTGCTCTAGTTGCTTTCGATCTCTTTTATTCAATATACTCTTTTTTAAAAAAACTTTAATTTTTTTCCTTCATCCGTATGACTCAGAGAGATCAAGGATACTAAAAAGCACAAAGGCACTCTGCCCTGTTTTCTCCAGTGCTCCTTTCCTTCAGCTTCCAGTAAGTTTCAGATTGGCTGATGACGAGTTTGCCAGAGATGTCAGGAGGCTCATCATCTCCCGACTTCTTTTCCCCATCACAGGGAAATGCTGTCGACACACGGCAGCCCTTACAAAACCCTGGAGCAGCGGCCCCCAGGCGGACGGAGTATGCCCACCACCCCAGTTCTGACCCGGAACGCCTACAGCACCAGCCACTTGGAGTAAGAGCACTTCGTTCCAATGACTTTGCCACTGTTGGTTTTGCTTTCCTTTGTTGTGCATCTTAATCATTTTAAGGCACTTGATTCATCAGGACTGTGTTACAGATCTACATTTTCTACTTAATGGGTCAACGACGTTGGCAAAGAAAATCTGTTGAAAAATATGCTTTGAGATAGGAGATTTGTGTGTGTGTGTGCGCGCGCCTTAATTTTCCCAACCAGACATCACCATTTGTTATTCAGTGGTGAGGATGAAGATAATGACTTGAGCAATGCTTTGACGTCTTTAGGGGAGGTTTTGCTAGCTCTTTTATATGCCTGATATTTTTTTTTATTTTTTTAAGATTTTATTTATTTATTTCTCAGAGAGAGAGAGAGAAAAAACACAAGCAGGGGGAGCGGCAGGCAGAGGGAGAAGCAGGCGCCCCCCTGAGCAAGGAGCCTGATGCAGGGCTCGATCCCAGGACCCTGGGATCATGACCTAAGCCGAAGGCAGAGGCTTAACTGATTGAGCCACCCAGGCATCCCTCTATGCCTGATATTATTCGGTCCACACAACAAGCCGAACTGTAGATCTCAGATCCTGTTTTCCCTCCTCATTTTACAGATGAGGATTGCAAGAGGTTAAATGTCTTACCCAAGCTCGCGCAGCTGGGAGATGGCAGAGCCATGACTCCCCCAGATATGTCTGGCATCAGAGCCAGGCTCTCCCCCGTGTGGTGCTCCCTCCACCCTAGTCTGCATCTCCTGCTATCCTTGTTGGAAGAGAGGAACCTCCAAAGATGCGTTGGGCTTTCTTTTTAGGCTTTGATGCAACTTGTGCATCATCAGTTTATATCTTCCCTCCTCTCGAGTGAGGCTTGGGATCGCATGGTTGTTAGAACTTGGTTCTTTTCTCATTTGGACCATGACACAGTGAACCTGTGTGGGAACCAAGGGATTGTGTGAAAAATGGATTCTCTTGTGCAGTCAGCTTTGGAAACCTTGAGTCTTATGGCAGTTCAAAGGTGATTAGATCCTTCAACGCCATGTTCATTTTGTAAAATTTCGGTCCTTCTTTCTTTCTTCCTCTGTTACAAATTGGCCTCTCTCCTTCTGCAGACCCGAATCTTCAGCCCAGCACTGTCGCCAGCGCAGTGGAAGCCTTGAGTCTCAGTCCCACCTGCTGTCTGAGATGGACAACGATAAGCCATTTTTCTCCCTCTCCAAATCCCAAAGAAGCAGTAGTACAGAAATCCTGGATGACGGGTCTTCCTACACCAGCCAGTCAAGCACAGAGTATTACTGCGTGACGCCCGTCACCGGCCCATATTACACTACCCAGACTCTGGACACTCGTGCGAGGGGCCGGAGAAGGTCCAAGAAACAGAGTGTTTCGACTTCAAATTCAGGAAGCATGCCCAACCTAGCACAAAAGGATAGTTTGAGGAATGGTGTCTACACAAAGAGCCAGGAACAGCCTTCTTCTAGTTACTATATTGCTGGGTACACACCCTATCCCGAGTGCGATCTTTATTACAGTGGCGGCTACGTCTATGAGAACGACACGGAGGGACAGTACAGTGTCAATCCTTCCTACCGGGCCTCAGCCCACTATGGCTACGAGCGCCAAAGGGACTATAGCAGGTCCTTTCATGAGGATGAGGTCGACCGGGTGCCCCACAACCCATATGCAACTCTCCGGCTGCCCAGGAAGGCTGCTGCCAAGTCAGAGCACATCACCAAAAACATCCACAAGGCCTTAGTTGCAGAGCACCTGCGTGGCTGGTACCAGCGGGCCTCTGGGCAGAAGGATCAGGGGCACAGCCCACAGACCAGCTTTGACTCAGACAGGGGATCGCAGAGGTGCCTGGGGTTTGCAGGGCTGCAAGTACCCTGCTCTCCCAGCAGCCGAACATCCTCCTACTCTTCCGGTAAGAATACTGCCTACTCACTTGATCCCCAGATCAAATTTACCTCCTGTCCCCCGCCCACCCTCCCCCCAAACCACTCCCCTCAGGGATCACAGGGCCAGTACCCAAGGTCATGACACTGGTAGCCATTCTGTGGGGCCACAGTAAGAATTGCCAGCTGAAACATAGTTCTTTCTCTTCGGCTTTCCAAAGAACACAGTCCACAGGAGTCCAATGGAGCAAATTGTAGATTCCAATCCAACAAGCATTCATTGAGCACCTATTCTATGCTGCCCTGTGTTAGGGGCTTTCAAATATTCTATCTTTTCCCCATGTCATTAAAATGTTCAGGTCACTGATGTTTGATATATTTAAAAAAAATAGAGTGAATCCGTCAGGTAAGCAGAAAACATTAGGATTTTGCATCCTTCCCTGCTCCCCAGCAGGAACCTTGATCCTCTAAAGGCAGTTTGTTTTGAATGTTCGGGTAGCTGTGTGAGGATCTTAGTAATTCTGATGGGAGCCAGTAATTTGTAAGCCCTGTTCCTGGCACTGTTCTACGTGCTTCGCGTGCCTTGACTCAATTCAGTAATCATATATACTCTGCTTTAGGGTTGATGTAAGGGATTTTCAAAGATAATTTTGGTTAGAGATGTTCCCTCATGCATTGACTTGGGCCCCTCACTCCACTAAAATCCATGGAGTACTTACTGCTTACCCCTCGCTGAGTAGAGAAATGAGGGGAAAGAGGAATATCTGTCTCTGGTTACGTTGATTCAACAAACAAGCAGGCGTGTCCCGGAAGCTGAGGAGCCAGGGTTGACCCAGTTTTGGCCTTGAGGAGCTCACGGTCTAGTCAGCAGCCAGAGGAATGTATGCAAATTAAGCAATTTCGAGGCTCTAAAACGAATGAGTTCTTGAACTATGTGGAAACCTGAGGTCCTATGTTCTTGCCCCTCTTTCAGGCATGACCCCGTAGTAGGACACAGCACAGGGATTCCTGAATCACCGTGTAATAGTTGGTGAAAACTGTGCCTTTAAAAGTATTCTAAGCTTGTTGACCAGAGGCATTTCCATGGAGATTTCTATTTGGGTGTACGGTCTCTTATGTTTGTGTAGGACTTTGGACTTCCGCTAGGGCTTTCCCATTTATTATCACATCTACCACACAAAAAGGCTCCTGTTCTTACTCCTGGTTGTTTATGGCTCATCTCTAGAGAATGCCTTTCTTCCCCCTAACGTTCAGGTCACTGCATGAGAATCTTTCCAAAAACAAACATGGAGAAGGTGTTAGTTAGAAAGAAAGAACAAATAAGGAGGGCTGAGATGCATATGGATTGTCATCAGGGCCCAGGGCTGGGGTGATGCCGTTTTAAGCAGGGAGGCTGGAAAGGAGCAGGCATCCCTCCGAAACCACAGCATTACTGCTGGTTGGCTCGGTGCCTGGGGCAAAGGTAAGAATGGAGTGAGTGCTTCTCGATTCACACCCAGTAGGAGCCTGGCTGGTAGCCATAGGCTTTGGCCCCACAGACCAAAAGGCATTCCATTCATGTTAAAGAATTAAAGGGATGGAATTAGATCTCATTCCTGTCTACATTTTATAGCTGCAAAAATGTGTTACAACAGGCATGCATCATGGAGAGTTTCCTGTTATTTGCTAAAGTAGTCAGGGGTTTCGTAGCTCCTTCTAGTCATCTGAAGATTCTCTTGGTGACTCCGTTTTAGTAGTAATGACAGCCACCATCTCTTGGCAGCTTCCCCTGGGCCACGCCACATGCTCGGTGCTTCGTGTGCACCATCCTACCTGAGGTATGCAAACAGTTGGGTACTATGAGCGCTGTTGTTAGGTCTATTATTACTATCCTCATCTTGCAGCGGAGGCAGTTCTGGTTTAGAGAGTTGAAATGACCCTGGCCAAGTCCCAGAGCTAGGACGTGCTTGACACCTTAACCACCGAGCTTTCCAGCCCCTGACTCAGAGTTATGAAACATTCTTAGAAACTCGGAGTGAGAGAATTACATCTTTGAGTCAAAACCTCATGGCATCCAGGGCCACGGATGAGTTTTGAAAGGTGTCCGCCCTACACTGGACACCAGGGCTTTGTGGGTGTGAGAAAGAAGACAAGGAAGGTGGCTGCCAAGAACAGGAAATGGAGGGGAGCTGGAAGGATCCATGAGTGGTGCTGGCCTTGGACCACCAGCTTGGCGTTGTGGTCACCTTGTGCATCCTGAGCATGGGGTGCTCTGGTTTTAGAGAGAGGACAACAAACGCCCTACGATGAGACATTCACTGGGCTTTGCTCCCAAATGGTACCCTTGTCTTGTTCCAGTTCAGTCCCTCAGTAGAACATATTCCCTCCTATACTAGTTACCCTCTCCTCCCATTCCCACACACACACTTTTTCTTTTAAGGCAAAAAGTAGGCGTTGATCCTGCTAGTGGCTGGCATTGCCTTGGGCCGAGGAGCAAGTCGTGACCCAACAGGGCAACTTACGGAGTGCTTTTCCTCCAAAGGCCTCCAAGAAACTCAAACGGGGTCATCTTATCTTTACAAATAAAGCCTTATCTATCCAGCCACCATAGCCAGAATGGAAAGACTCTCTCCATATATGAGAATGTTTTTCCTACTTGTCTTTTAGGTTATTTTTTATGCCTTTCAATTAACTTTATTCCCATTAATAATATCAATAGTTACCATTTTGGGAGTGCTTACTCTATACCAGGCACAGTGCTAGACATTCTCATATATAACCTTATTCAATCCTGGTATCATCCCTATACAGGATATATCTGCATTGTTACCCCCACTTTACAGGTGAAGAAACTGAGACTTGAAGAGAGTAAACTATTTGCCCGAGGTCACATGGCCAGTAAGTGACTAAATTGGATTAGGAACTCTGTTGATTATAAACACTGGCTCTTAATCTCTGCACATAGATGATTATAATGTACATCTAAATGGCCTAAACAGTCTTTGCTTTGAATATTCCCACTAATTTTGTCTCTTTCCATTTTTACTTCTAGTATCTTCTACAAATGCTTCTGGAAACTGGAGGACCCAGATAGCTGTAGGGCTATCTGACTACGAGACCCCGGCACATTCTTCCTACACCAGCTGCTACGGCAACATCTATAATCCTTTGCCCTCCCCAGGCAGGTGAGAAAGCAATGCTCCAAAATTCTAGTAGCCTGTTCCTGGTCAAAACAATTGAGGAATTCATTTTTTTTTCTTTTTTTTTTTTTATGACTGCTCAAGGATTATCAGACTATAGCCTGTGGGGCCCAAACCAGCTGCCACCTGTTTTTCTAAATTAAGTTTTATGGGAAAACAGCCATGTTCATTCACGTACATTTTATCTATGGCTGTTTTTGCACCGTGAGGGCAGAGTGGAGTAGCGACAGAGCCCTCGTGGCCAACAAAGCCAAAAATATCTGGCCTTTTTAAGAAAAGGTTTGTTGATTCCTAATCTAGATTGTTCGAATTTGACTCTGTTCCTCGTCTTCTGCAAGGTCTTAAATTCTGTGTCTGACGGGGTTTTTTTAATTGCAGTACTTTAAACGGTATTACTGATCTATCCATTTAAGACTCTCCTGGAACCTTGGAGGAAAAATATCTCTACTCCAGAAAAGGCTGTTCACATCAGAATTCCTCGTAGGCAGTTGGTGGGCTTGATTTCAATGAACATTTGCCGGCTTTTTGTGTCTGACCCTGTGTTCCTTAAGAAGCTACAAACACAGTCAGTTGCCCTATTTGTAATCGTGGTTCTTTGTAAACATTTGGAGGAAACATACAAGAACAATTTGTTAAAATGTGATTTTTTTAAAAAAGATGGCTAACTCCGCATTACTTCTTTGAATATGCAAGAGGAGAGGAGTTTCTCCAAGAGGAGTTAAGTTATGAAGAGGTCATTTCTCCCTCACTTTTCACAGGATATCATTCACACCCGTCGTGCCAAGAAATAGAGCATTTTCTGTTTGTTTTTATTTAATTTTTGCTCTAGGTCAAATTGCTTCAGGCATAGGGAGACTTACACAGACAATAACTTATCAAAGTGTCTAGCCTGGTGAGTTTGAGAGATTAAATATCTTTCCTTCTTTTTACTTCAATTTTTTATTTCAGTTCTAGTTGATTAACCTCCATCAACCCTCAGTTTGTTCTCTATAGTTAAGAGTCTCTTCTGATTTGCCTTTCTCTCTTTTTTTCCCTTCCATTGTTCATCTGTTTTGTTTCTTAAATTCCACATATGAGTGAAATCATAATTTCTTAATAAAGTACTCAGTGTTACAAACGAATTGGAGGTATTCAACCCCAAAGCCTTATTTTTCTTCTCCTTGTTCAAGGAGAGTTTTTCTTGGCTTGAACTGTTAAGCCGATTGTCTCAACTCAACAAAGGGTGTGCTCAAAATAGGATTTTAGTGAAAATATACCTCAGGGGACTTCAAATAGCTTGGGTTTCTGTAAATAATGCTTGCAAATGAGTTAGGAGCAAGAACTATAATGGCTTTGGCCCAAAATTGGAGCTGCACTTTAAGTCAGTTCTCATCGTTTTGTATAATTCATTTGCATATAGTTTTCCCCACTTGTACACTTTTACTTTTCTTTTCATGGACTGCATGAGAAATAATATAAAAGCACATGAAACAGTTTGAAAATCCTTAACACTACTTTCACTGGACTCAGGAAGTACTAAACATTTTTAGAGAAAGTCTGTTTTTACCAAGTGTGCCTGTCTGTCTCAGAGAGCCAGCCCAAGATGGCTTGACGTGAAGTCTGATGTCAGAGGTGGGGTAATCTACAGGAAATTAGAAACTATTTAAAGATCCCTATTGTGTGTGCTCACACGCACATCATATGAGCTCATTGTGGAAAATTAGGAAAATAATAAAGGGATAAATAAGTAGGAAATCATTACCCATAATTCTACCATCTAGAGATGGTAGCTATTAGCATTTTGACACATTTCCCATTTTCCAGTGTCCATTTTTAACATGGTGGTAATGATACCCTTATGTGCAGTTTTACACCTTTCATTGTCTATGAACTTCTGCATCCCAGTGTTTTACTTAATATCACAATATAAACATGTTCCCATATTTTTAAAAAACCGTTAAACCTTATTTTATGTGATCCACATGATATTCCACTCAATAAATATACCATACTTTATTTAACAGTTCCTATATTTTGAATTTGAATGGTTTTTAGATTTGCTCTCTCTTTTTTATTGTAATGCTGCTGTTAATGTCTTTGTGCAAAATATTTGTCTGAATTCCAGATTATTGCCTTAGGATACATTCCAATAAGTAGAATTAATGGATTAAATTGAAAAGTGAATTTTTTTAAGCCCTTGCTTTCCAGAAAGATTTGCCAATTTACCCTCCCAGCAACAGAGGTACGGGTGTGCTTATTTCCATCTATTTGTCTATTTAGGATTTTTTTTTTTTTATTATACCTCAGAGTGATCAACTTAACTTGACCTACTAACAAAGCAAGTATCATAACAGCCATCCATTAAGTTTTAGAAATTTGCTGTAAAATTATGTTATTTTTGATGAAAACATAATTTTTAAAATAAGAGAGAAATTAGGTTTCAAGATAAAGATAAAAAAAAAAACCTTTAGATCTGCCCTGAAGTTCAAGATTTGAGTAATTTTTTAAACAAATGAAGTACATAGTATTTCAAGATCCTTTCCCCCTGAGTGTCTGGCCCTTAACATTTACAGAAAGCTACACATTTTTTACCAATAAAAATTTGTTTCCAAGTATGCTGTGGTATAATTGTCAGTGGCATAGACTTTCTAAAATCGTAAATGTCAACGTCTCTTATGCTCCCTAGTATATAATGCAGTCAGATTCTTGGCTCTGTGTGCTGCAAACTGTGTTTTCAAATAACTTTTTCCCCCTTGCCTTTCTGTTTTGCATTTCGCATTCTCTTCCTTATCTAAATACCTCTACCAGGCAACACCCAGGGCTTCTGTCACGGAGAATGGTTGTGTCTCCCGAAATGAGATCAGTTTTCAGTTCTCTTTTGCTCAATGTAGCCAGCTGTAGTAAGTACAGCCCTCAGATCCGTCTGCTGCATCTTGCCTTGTAGCAGGACTTTTGCTTGTTCTGGCTGATGTGTGAAGCTGTGGAAATCTGACTTTGTGTTTATAGTACATGAAAACACTAAATACCTGGTTTCACATAGTATTTCTTTCCGCAGCTCTACTTCCAGTGCCTTTTTAACCATCTTGACTAAAGAAATGTAAAATAAAAAGAAATCTACTAACTATCTAACCTATTCTAAATGACTGTTGCAGGAATGAGGTTTTGCGTATTGGAATGTTTTGTGTTATAGGATGCCTTCCTTTGGATATACCATCCAAGTATGCCTATGATTTTTGAATGTGGTGTTGTTTCCAATTGATGTTTGACCCATAGACCCTAGGGATGTAAGGTGTGTTCCTGGGTGCCGCTGCCTGCCACTAAATATATTCCTTTGTCCCTGAGGAAAGCATCTAGTCTATTCCCTTAATTTGAAGAATACTTAAAATGTGGCTGTCAAAAATACTTTTTAAAAAGTTAAAAATAGGGGCGCCTGAGTGGCTCAGTTGGTTAAGCGACTGCCTTCGGCTCAGGTCATGATCCTGGAGTCCCGGGATCGAGTCCCACATCGGGCTCCCTGCTCAGCAGGGAGTCTGCTTCACCCTCTGACCCTCCCCCCTCTCATGCTCTCTCTATCTCATTCTCTCTCGCAAATAAATAAAATCTTTAAAAAAAATAAAATAAAAAGTTAAAAATATGACTCTCACACAAAGAGAAAATGGGCATGTGTCAAAGATTTCTTTAACTCATTAATGAGGGAACTAACAGAATGGTAAAGCTGCTTCCAAGAGAATTCAAAAGACTGAATTCAACACACTCAAAGATAAAAGGCTGGAATAAGATTACTAAATAAGATTAAAAAACCAGTTAATGGCCTACAGGGCAATAAAAATATAACCATAGTCTTTTTATAGTAGACCAAAGTTATTTGTATTTCTTCCAGACAAAAACCCTACAAGTTAACATGTAACTTACCACAATCTGGATCCTAATCAATGGTAAATATAAGTGAGACAAAGGAATATCTCCCGAGAGAATTAAGTACACCTTGCATGGGCCTTTTCGACAGTTCACCAGTAGGACAGTGAAAGAACACACCATCATCCTTTGCCTTGACAGTGCTTTCTACTAATTCTTTGAGTAGAGTCATCTTTGTACTCTGGTAATAAAAATGACCACAAGTAATAACTCTCCTGGTTTCCTTTAATAGACAGTACCCAGAGATCAGTCAACTGGACAGCACAGATGGAAGCCGGTTGGAAGACAGCCTGGAGAGCAGGGAGCAGAAGCTCTTTTGGCATGAAGATTCAAAGCCTGGAACATTAGTCTGAACTGCAGTTGGACCTCTTGACCAAGCACTGCATTCTCACACTAGTGTGCCTTGCAAAATGTGTTCGTCTTCCCAGAAAGCTATCCGGCATTAGAAAGCTAAAGGCATCCAAGGTCGGAGAGACCCTGAACAACTTGCCTTTCTTGACTCTGGGCACTCACGTGACAGAGCAAGGTGGAGCCGTGGCCACAAAAGGACTCAGCCTTTATCAGTAGCAAGCACTTTTTAAGGGAATAAATGTTGTTGAAGGCAAACCGCAAAACTGTGAAAAGTGCGTTCAGGGTCCCCAACAGGAAAGAAGGACAGGAAATTTCAGAGCACAATCCAGAAGGATGAGGAAAGGGAAAGCAGAAACTCCTTAGTTTGGGTTTGTGAGCTGGTGAAGAATAACTTGCTATCTCTACCCAGACATGAACAATTAAGACAGTATTGGAAAATTACTTGAAGAGAAGCTGGATTTTCATGAAGTTCTGAATGAGTGTAAATGTTTTTAGGATATTATAAAGAGTGATGGTTTTCATAAGCACCGTAAAATGGGTTCTGGAAAGACTTAGCATCCTGTAATATAACTTTATGGTAGCAGATTGGGGAAAACAAAGCAGCCCACTGAATAATTGACAAACTCTGCTTGGAGAATGTTCTAAGGTACAATATTATTGGGCTCCTTTTTTTCTTTCTACACCAATTGCCTGATGGGTGATTACTCAGGCTGGTAACTCTCCAATTTGCTTGCCATTTCAAATGGCAGACCTGATATGGAAAGTTTTTCTAACCAAGAGTTCGAAAAAGTATTTTAAGGTCATACAGAAAGAACCCAAAACAAAACAAAATGGAAAAACAAAAACCACAGCATTTTCAATGAATTGCGTGCCTTAAAATGGTGAACATTAGAAAAGTAAGCATATTGTCCAGATTCCACGGGGGGTTCTAAGTCACCAAATGACAAAAAACAAGATTAATCATTAAAAAACAAAACAAAAACAAAAAAAACTCCAAGCTGCAATAGATTTAATTATGAGGCTAAAACTACCTCATACCTTACTCGGAAGAACTAATTAGCTATGGTTTATTGTAGTGTTTTTTTTTAAAAAAAACAAAAACAAATATTTCCATATTCCAGATTGCTCTTGTCATCTTCACTCTGCTTCAATATTCCATAAAAGGTGCTCCCTTTCCCCCTTTTATACAGGTTTCATGTTCATATTGTGAGTAGAGAAGTTTCTGAACAACTTTTTTGGAACATTTTCTATCTATATTCCAAAGCATGTAATATATACATAAAAATGCTTTGTTAAACTGGTCCTTAGTCATTTGTATCATTAAATATGAAGTTTGGGAGAAAAATTTGGAACAAAAAAGAAGACATGCAAAAAATAGTAAGTTATTCCTTTTTGCATACTTGTATAGCCTTCTAGAAACAGAAATACCCTTTTGCATATTCTTTCACTGTTCTGACTTTTTTAAGACCTATTATTTTTTTTACATAGGTCAATAAACTGAGGTGTGCTACTGAAAATGTTTACGTATTCTTCCATTACATTCAGGGTTCAGACAAAGCAGTTTAAAGTGCTCTACTTCAAGTAATCGTGTTGGACAAGAGTGCGGATTTTTAGTTCTATATTAGCATATTTTATTGATGCCAAGATGCACATTTTTTCATATTTACATCTTTGAAATCAGGATGCATCTTTTGATGGATGGCATGCTCTCAATGAACTGGCAGTGTTTTTTTCTTTCTTAGTGCTACATAAAATAATGCTGTGTCTTACAATAAAGTTGTCTTAGAATTGATGAAATACAGTAGTTTATTGCCTCACTGAGGATGACAGATGTGAATTTTTAGGCTTCCTAATTGTGCGAATGTTATTTGTAACAAGTCATCCATCCTAGTTTTGCCGACTTGCCAACAGGTCTTCTAAATTCAAGAAAATGTTTCATCTGCCATCTATTTATCCTGCACAATGGGGAAAGGGAATGGGAAATGAAATATGGAAGACCTTAATATTTCTGTGCAAGTATCTCAGATGGAAATAACCTTCTTCTCTTTAAGAAAGGGAATGTTCAGAATTGCAAGTACACTTTGAAAGAATGCATGGAACTTGGCTCCCAAATGGTTAAAGAAGGTACAGAAATGGAAGCACAGTGGGCCTGCTGTTTGATTTTTTTTTTTCCCCTGTCTTTTTAGGAAAACCTCTCTCTACCACATGTTTGGTATGTTTATTAATAACCAAAGCATGGCAAAGGTAAATTATTCAACATAACCCATTGATCTGTTTCTTATTACAAGATGTCATATTTTCCTGATAAAAATTTTAAATTAAAAAAATTTTAAATTCAAACACAAAGCAAATAAATAACATAAGAACATAATTATGCCCTGGAAGCCTAATGTTACCAGATGTAAGAATTGTTCATTTATTTTCTATTAGTTCACATTTTCTTCTATGCATACAGTAATGTTTTAAAAACTCAGCATCATATTGCAAGGACAGTTTACAACTTGTTTTTTTCACCTAGCATATCATGGACCTCTCTGTATCAATATATATTGATCTACCTCATAGAAATGTATATTTTACAAGGTGGATTTTTTTTTAATTACCTCACCTTCCTTGCTGTTCATATTTTTTCCTATATTTGAGAAAATTCTTCAAAATTCTTTCTTGTACTCATATAAGCTTAATGTTACAAGTAATAAAGATTCCAGAATTGTTTCAAACTATTAGTTTGGCCTGTTCTTAGGAACAAAGGTTCAGACTAAGAGTTCCTTCAAATGTTAGTCCTTCAGAGCATTCAGAAGTGGAATAATGACTTTCTTCAGGACAGAAGAGTTTGAATTCTTTTCTAGAGTAATTTTCAAAGGATCAGTGGTGAGAGACAAGTTTTTTAAATTTTCAACTATTGTGGGCCTTTAGTTTTGTGAAGACAAAGATGAATTAGTTTTGTGAAGACAAAGATGAATTACTAAGGAAAACAAGTTAATTAAAAAAAATGAATTCCTAGGGAAGTGGAAAAAAACAAATGGGTACAAAAATATACATTCCTGCTCATTATTAGATTCATAGGGCATAAAACTACTCTGTCGAGTCACAATCACAGATTCTAAACACAGACTCTTACTTTCTGTACTTACCTCAATTTACATTCCACTAACAGTTTCTTAACTCCCCATGTTTCTCATTGAAGTATAGTTAACATACGGTGTGCTGTTTCAGGTGTACAATGTATTGATTCAACAATTCCATGCATGACTCAATGCTCACGGTCTAAGAGTATCTGGACCACCCTCTGAGTACCGCTAACTTGGAGCTCTTCACAGGGGGTTCCCATTCATGCATGTTAATAAGGCAAGTCATTCTTCGTCCCCTGTTACCTCATAAGGCATGGAGCTGCCGTTCATCTCCAAAGAGAAAAATCTGTTTAACACATACACGGATATACTCATCTTTCTGCTCAAGCCCTTTACCTCTCGTGTTCCTCATGGTTCAGTGTGTGCCGTGAAGTGTTGTGTGTACGAGCTGCTCTAATCCCCACGACAGCCCAGTGACTTGATGTTATCTCCATGTTACTGAATCTGAGAATTGGGAAGGGCAAGTCATTTGTCCAAAAGTTGTGCAGCACTTGGAAGAAAGGCAGGAAATAGGTTTTGATTCGTCCAACACCAAATCCTAAACTACTGCAGCCTTGTTCCAAGAACAATTTCTCTGCAGTCTGGGTAGCAAACAAGATTTTTAAGAATATATTATAGGGGCACCTGGGTGGATCAGTAAGTTAAGCGACTGACTCTTGGTTTCAGCTCAGGTCATGATCTCAGGGTCCTGGAATAGAGCTGACTTCAGGCTCCACACTTATTGCCGAGTCTCCTTGGGACTCTCTCCCGCTCTGCCCCTCCCCCTGCGCTCTCTCTCAAATCAATAAATCTTTTATAAAATATATATATATATACATAAATGAAAATTGAATATATGCTAAGCTCAGCTGTCCTTGTTTGTTTTTGGTGTTTTGTTTTTTTTTTCCATTACCAGTGGTAAAAAGGCAAAGGCAGGCCTCAGTCTGAATATAGGTGAAGATAACCCTTATCTGAGTTACTACCAGCCTTGCAGCCTGGTAGGCTGCATTTTGTATTGCTATGTGAGCTCATCAGCGGACCAAGTACATTTGTTAATTCTTTTCAAGTCAATAAAATGTCTCACACCAGTGAATATACTTGTTATAATCACAGATAACCATAATGAGCTAAATATTGATCAGTAGCACTGAAAGTATCTATCAATCTTTCTCCATTTCTGATGGTTCAGGGCAGCAGGATAATATGAAGTTTATATGCTCTGCTACCATGACCCCAAGGAGTCCTCTCAGAATTGACCTCTATCAGATGTATGTGCCCGTGGGCTTTCGCTCTTGATTCTCCTTGGAAAGAGTGAATCTGGGATTAATCCCCTTTTAGAATCTGAGCCCCATGCCAAAAAATCCTTCTAATACTTCCCACCTTTTCTACTTTTGATGCCTCATGGACTCTATCTCCCCTGCAAAAGAAAATAGGAACTATGCATCAAGATTTGTTTTAGCAGTACTTAGCTGATTCTTAACATCAACACACAAACACATTTTCTCCCTTTTCTTTTGCTTTTGAATATCAGCAGTCTTGACAAGAATGGTGTATTGGGACCAAGGGAATGGGGATGGGAGCTGACTTAACTTCTGAGTTTTAGATAATTATCTCTTCTTAAATGCTTATTACACTTAAGAAGTGGCCAAGGTTAAAAGTTCTGTGGTTTTCAACTAGGGCTGTACCACCAGCTATGGGGCATTTGGAAATGTGAATATGTTGCTGTATTTTAGAATCCCTCAATGATTTGGAAATACTACTGACGTATAGGGACCAGGGACATTAAACAGATACAAGGCATGGGATGGGCCCCTACAATAAATAGTTGTTCTATCCAAACTGCCCAAAGTGACCCCACTGAGGAACCCTGGGCGTCTTACCTAGGAAAATGTGTTAAATCCACTTCTATGGGTACTGCCTTCCAGTGTTTGAAGCAGAGATTTCTCAATTCTGAAGGGAAGAAAGGGGAAAGTAAAGGAGATGATGGTTTCCTGAGGGTGGGGGAGAGATTGTATGTGAGTTAAAAAGGTATATATCCAACAAATATTAGAACACCAACGACGGTCACTGTTCCAGGCAGTGAGAATAGAATGTTTTCCTGAAGCTGGCTGTCCGATCAATGAGGGAGAAACAGAAGTCACCAACGTGAATAACTTAGAAGGAACATTAGTCTTATGAAAGCCAAGCGTGGTGAGAAAAGAAAGGTTGTAGATGATACCTTAGGTTGCTGGGACACAG